CTTGCAGCACTGAGACAAGCCTGCTAGCAAATCAGGGCCTTCACTATCGAGCAACAGGAAGCCTCGGATAAAACTGGCGCAGGGACCTGGCCGTGGACTCCGAGAAACTCTGGATGACCTCGCGCACCTCGCCCAGAACCGCTCGGTGGGAAACTGGACCGATCAGGGATCCAGGCATCCGGGGGGGGGGGGGGGGGCGGTTGCTCGCCATAGCTTGCGGCCTATTTGCAGCTCATGCTGCGCTACTGTGTGGGGGTCAGAATCTCTGCGCACTCGGGCAGAGGGGCATTCGGGGTCGTGCGCAACCGTAAGCGAAACAACAATCCGAACCTTCGTGGCCCTGTGAAAACCCCGCGCTCCCCCCGTACTGGCCGTCTTGCACCAGTCGCCCCAGCTGTCTGGATCTCTCCTGACGCGCCTGTGACTGCAACGGGGAGATCATCAGCTATGTCTTCCAGAAACTCCTCAACAGTCTCGCGGGTAAATTCCGAACACGACATCCTGCGCGCTTGGTTGACCAAATTATTAAGCCCAGCGCTTAAACCGAGCCCTGGGTAACCAGAAGCACACAAAACAGCTGGCTCGGCGAATGTTGCATCCAGGGTGGCTTCTGCATGTCACTTAGGCAAGCTAGTTGGCTAAAGTGAGCGGCTGCATTCCGCGTCCGCCACCAACCATCAACAATTGAGCGCCTCTCGCTTTCGTCAGGCACGGGGCTTTCGACGTTGACAAAGCGCGGGGCAACTTGGCGCCCGAAGCCGCCGAAGTTATCTCCCGCATCCCCAGTGCAGGCACCGATGCGCCGAGCAGCGATCTGGGCAAACTTGCCCCAAAGAGGACTGAGCGCACGATGCGCTGTCCCTGGGTCGGCCTCCTCATCGCTCGCCAACTCCACGCAACGCCCCGCCAACCCCGTAGCAGGCCAACCCCGTAGCAGGTCCCCAGGCAAGCGGCGAGGGCGGAGGGGAGAACGCGGGGGGGGATTGGCTTAGCAGGGGCTACAGTATACACTACATGCTGCACGCGGTACCCTTGGCTGGGCATGGCTAGCTGCACAGGTCTGCGAGGCCCAGTCGACCATCGCGCGTCAAGTTCAGAAAGCTCGTGGGCGCGCATGCACGGATCATTGAGTCCAGGGGAATCGATCCGAGCAACGCCATAACGACAAGCACGCAGCTTCGCTGCAACAAGGGTGAGACCTGCAAAGCTACAGAAGCTTGACGCCTCGACATCAGCAGGCGACATGTCCATATCACATTCAACAACGCATGGCCCTCAGACGCTCTCAACAACTGCGCCTGCAGCCGCCATCAGCATGCGTTATTGCCCTGAGTGCCGGCCCTTGGATAGAGACGCAGGTTGGCGCAGTGGAGCATGGGCCATCCTGGGAGATCGCGCAGCACACGCTGCGAGCGATGCCCACCCTCTTCATGGCAGCCTAACTGCGGCGCGCGCCAGCCGCGCGCACTACGCGCAAAGACTGCTACACCTGCACTGTGCACATGGCCAGCAGACGGACAGGGGTGCAACGCCATGAGACGCCATCCACCCGCCTGCGCCCAGCTCTGAATCGCCTCGACCCGACCAGCTGCATGTCCGAACTCTCGCACAATCAATCAACGCTAAGGCTCGATATGCCGCCAGTCTCGTCTTAAGAGTGGCCTTGCCGCCGCTGCAATTGAGGGCCACTACCGCGTGTTCACCCGTATCTTTCCCAGCAGCAGGCTGCGAAGGCGGAAAAGGTGACGGGCGAAGTAGTGTCATGAGTGGCAGAAGGCAAACATTGCCATTCTGCTCTCGCACATGGGGCAGGAGCACATGCTCCGCGGGCTGTGCGCGGCGCCAACGGCGCGGCGCCTTCAGTAGCCGGTCGGCATCGCAGGGGAGGTGCACCGCGCGCTCTCACTCCCCTCGCCGCCAGGAGGGCGAGCACCAGCTGCAGCGTGTCCGTCGTCCTGCAATTTCGTCGCATTCGAATAAAACTGGCAGGCCACGCCCATGAAGCACACGTGGCGCAGCGACGTCAGGAATACCGCGCCTTCTTGGCGTTGTAGAGCCCCTCCAACTTCGCAGCGCAATCCTCGAAGTCATTGCAGTTGGCCCAGAGAGTCTTTTGTTCCTCCTCAGAAAGCTCACTGAGCTCATTGTTGCGCGTGTGTCCGGCAGCGTCGGCAGCAGTATCCTTTCGGCCTGGCTGGCCTTCGGCGGCAGTGCGAGCACCATTTGCACCAACAGCAGCAGCGCCCTCGGATCCCATGCCAGCATCAGGGGTCGCCTCCTAGGGCGCAACGCGGGTGCGCTCCTGCAACTTCGTCCACGTCTCGCTGTTGAGGAACGCCTCAGCCTCGGGGAAGTAATGCTTGAAGGTGCTGATGCCATGGAGCAACACTGATCCTGGTACTGGTACTTTGCCGTCACCTCCGCCACCTGCTTTGCCTGAGACCAGCGACGCAAGCCTGTCGAACTCAGCCTGCGAGGTAACCACCTGCCCCCTCTTGGCGGCCAAGGATAGCTCACGCTCCTCGACCGATACACGCAACTTCTCATACAGGGCACGCTTCTCCGCCAAGTCCTTGCCATCTGCTCGACAGCCACCTTCGCCTTGCTGAGATCCTGCGCAGCTCGGAGATGGGCCGTCTGCGGCGGCCGCAGCTGCTGCTGCTGGTCCGCAAAGCTTCTTCAACATACTGTCCCGAATGTCTTTAAACTCATCACCTGTTGCCATTGACTTGGTCGACGCTTCCAACTTCTGAACGTACAGCGCAACTTGAGCTCGTCGCCCTTCAACACTTTCAGGAACCGCTGTGCTGGCTGCCTCTTGGACATGGGCAGCCGCCTCCGACGCCCACGGTGGAGTCGACGGAGGTTGGGTAAAATTCGTATTGGTACTTCGGCGAGCGAGGCGAACAAGGAATCGAACTTCTTCTCGAACGCAGTGAGTTTGTCTCCTTTGTGTCCGGCTGTGCTCTCAGCTTGGTCACGTCCGTTGCCTTTACCACGGGTTTCCCACCATTCTTCTCCAGCTGTTGCAACACAACTTTATGGGCAGCGACAGCTCGGGCACGGATGCATGCAGGCGCCGACCGCCCGCACTCGCACTTGATCCTCGACGCCCAGTTGTGCAAGCGCGCGCATGAACCACACGCCCACTCGGTTTTCCTCGGGCCCAAAAAGACATCCCACTCCTTCTCGTCAGGGGTCGGGACCATCCGCTGGCCAGATCTGCTTTTCCTGCTCCGTCAGGAGCTAACGAATGCTTCGACGAGGCAAAAGCTCTGCCCCGCCAGAGTCTCACAAAATGCTAGGTCGAGGCAGCCACGCCTTGGGAAGGGGTTGCCCTTCCACCTCGACCTCGAGCCTTGAGCCAAAATGGCTTGAGCCAACATGGCTAAGGCGGGAGGGGGAGGAGGCGGAGGAGGAGGAGGGGGAGGGGGAGGAGGAGAAGGAGGATAGAGGAGGATAGAGGAGGATAGAGGAGGATAGAGGAGGATAGAGGAGGAGGAGGAGGAGGAGGAGGAGGAGGAGGAGGAGGAGGAGGAGGATCGAGGAGGAGCAGGAGGATCGAGGAGGAGCAGATTCCTGGGTCCTTCCTGGTCCCCGCGCGCACCAACCCCCCCGCGCTGCGCCCAGTCGTGGCGGTGACGGGACCCCACGAAGGCCAACAGCTGTCTCGACTGGCCCTCCTCGCCATGACCCCCCCAGCGCCACGGTGGGGGCACTGGATAAGGAGCCAAGGAATCCAGGGTCTGAAAGCCAGTGGAACGCCAGTCGCGGACTGGCAGCAGACATTGCCGCCGCCCCCCTCAGGGAAGGAACCCTCCAGGGTCTGAAGCCTCCCGTGCAATGCCCCCAGCGCTACGACTGGTCCATGCTGTGGTGATCCAAAAGTTTGGACCCCTTCTCTGGGACGGGCGTTTCATCCCGGGTAGTTTTTCGGTGGCCCCCGGGCCCAGCGAGGGCTCCCCGCGGCCGAGAACTGCCAAACACCTTCCGCTGCATGACCTGTTCACGACTCGGGGGGGGGGTCGCCTGAACCCGTCTTCGCGCCGCGACTTGCCCTCCTCGGGCCGCCGCGGCGGTTGGCGGCTCCGGCGATGCTGGGCTACGCGCAAGGGGACCCATCCTGGGCTTGCTGCGCGGCCTCCTGGTGCCGCGGGGAAGGCACCTCCAGGCTTGCAGGCCAGTGCCGGGAGGCCCCCCCGTGGGTCCGCGCACCCCGAGGCCACCAGGGCGAAGGGCCACTCGTCCGCGCACGGTCGGCCCCAGGCCGGAAGGGCACCCTGCAAGAGTCAGGGGACCTTGGGGCACACAAGTAAACAGGCACAAAGAATAGGACCCCCCTAATTTTCCCATATTTTCATGATTCTGTCTTCCCCGCCGCTTCCCCTATTTTCGCATATATTCCGGGGGTCGACGATCAATTTTGACTGTATGCTTGTTTTCCCCCTCCTGAGAGAGCACGAGGCCCTGTGCCGGCAAGAACAAACGGAACATCCAAGGTTCACCTCACCAGAATGCACAAGAGCGCCCCGCAAACACGAAGAACAGTAGGGTGCCCTCCCCGAACCGGCCTCGATCTTATACGTCGGTCCAAATGGGGACACCAAAAGGTACCAATACCGCTGCTCCCCGGACCTCTCGCGGGGTGCGTTCTGACCAGGATTTCGAAGCGAATCCAGCCGTGGCGGCGAGGGCCTCCCAGGAGGCCCAAAAAGAGGGAAAACTGGCGAAGGGTAGAGGCTATGGGTACCCTTACCGACTATACGTAGTACAGTGCGGGCGCAGCCGCAAGAAACCCTCGCAACAAAAAAAACCCAACCCTGAGAACCCGCGCGCGAAGTGCACCTGAGGGGAAACCTGGAGCACCCTGAGCGCAGCAGCACCTTCAACGGCTGCGGGAAGTCGCCGCGCAGCGCGAGGAGCGAAGCAACCCAGGATGCCCGGACGAAAAGCAGATGGTTTCTTGATGCGCGCCCCCGCTGTAGTCGAGATGATGCGGCGGCGAGGCCCGGGCGGGGCACCGCCGCGGCGGGGGGCAGCAGGTCGGGCAGCCCGGCCGCCGGGGAGCCGCCGCGGTCAGCCCTGCGGCGCGGCGGCGGGGCTCTCTCGGAGGGGGGGGGCTCAGACGCGGCGGTACACCCGGATGAGGGGCCTGTTTCCCACCACCACCACAACCACCACAAGTTGCAGGGGGGAAATGAGGTGGAAGAACGAGGAGGAGGAGGAGGAGGACGGAGAGGAGGAGGAGGGAGGAGGAGGAGGAGGAGGAGGAGGAGGAGGAGGAGGAGGAGGAGGAGGAGGAGGAGGACGAGGAGAAGGAGGAGGAGGAGGAGGAGAGGAGGGAGGAGGGAGGAGAAGGAGAGGAGGAGGAGGAGGAGGAGGAGGAGGAGGGGAGGAGGAGAAGGAGGGGGAGGAGGTTGAAGGGGGGGAGGAGGTTGAGGAGGAGGAGGAGGAGGAGGGAGGAGGAGGAGGGAGGAGGAGGAGGAGGAGGACGAGGAGAAGGAGGAGGAGGAGGAAGACCCCTCTCCCCCTCCAACTTGTGGAAGTGGTGGTGGAAAACAGGCCCATCACCGGTGGGGTCGGAGGATGGCGCCCCATCGCCGATACATGCGCGATGTATCGGCGATGTGTCGGCGATGTGTCGGCGATGCACCGGCGATGCATCGTCGACGTCGGCGATGTCTCGGCGACGTCGTTGTGGAGAACATCGGGCTTCACATCGAGCCGCCTCGCCGATACATCTCCGCTGCAGCGCGATCTTCCGACCCCATTTTACTCGGACCCCATCTAGGAGGCCGAAAACACCTGAATAGGGTGTTGTTTGCTAAGTGTGTCCCTGGCCCAAGGTGCCTCCAGGATTGCCAAAGAGGCCCGCACGGTCCGCAGAGCACCCCTCACGAGGCCCAGAGGGCCCCAGGGGTCCCAGCATGGAGCGAAAAGCGGGGGGTACCTTGGGCCAGGGGCACTTTCTTAGCAACCCCTGGCTAGAGGGGCCTCCCGAATGGGGTCGGGCCCTCTCGCAGGAGGGGCGAAGAAGCGGCGGCACATCTGGAGGGGCACCTCGGGTCCCCCAGTAGGACTAAGATCACCTCGGGTCCCCCGGTAGGACTAGCTTTCGCCCCATTCCGGCCTGCGGCCCGCTAGCCGTTCCCGAGCCGCCTTCGCAGTGCCAGGCTACGACGCATCGCAGAGAGGAGGAGGAAGAGGAGGAGGAGGAGGAGGAGGAGACTGTGGAGACTCTGCCTGATCGCGTAGCGATATGAATCCAACAAATCAAGCCCTCGGCCCCGACGCCACAATTCTTTCATTGGTGTGCAGACACGAGAACAAACACGGACCACACGCACACGAGAACGGACACCAGCGCATGCAAGGACTTATGAGGAAAATTGGGTTACTCTACGCTCTCACCTCCTCCAGCAACGCGACGACCCCGAACGGGAACCCGAGTACACGAAGGAGAGGTGGTAGCCGAAAGAGTCCATGTAGTTAAACTTTGCTTGCGCTCCCCCGAGCCCGAACCGCCATGTAGGGCATCGACGCCTCGGAGCCGCGCACGCTCGGTGCTGGTCGCCCACCGCTCGGCGTCCGTCGGGGCAGGAGTGGCTGCCGCCATCGCCGTCCGGAGCCCGCGCAGCAACGCACCGACGTCCGCGCCAGCACTTCCGCCACGAGCGCCCGCGCCCGTCTCCACCGCATCTGTGGAAGTTACCCCCCTCAGGGGCCCCGCGGGAGGGATGGCGGCCGCGCCTGGCGCCTCCGCATCAACGGGAGCGGCATCTCCCTCGACACGAAGGCGCACGGCATGCTCCTCGCTCTGCGGCCCCTCCCCCGACGGCACATCAACGACATCGTCGACGCCGCTGTTCTCAACGACGACCTCGGGCTCCAACGTGGAGCCGACGTCCGCACCAGTGTCTCCGCCAGGCGCCACTCCCACCTGCTGGAGGGTGCTGGTGGCTTCATCACGGCGCCCTCATCTTCAGCTCCCGCACCTGCTTCGCCTTGAGCCTGACCTTCAGCAGGGTCGCCAGGCGGGCCCTCCAGGAAATCCAGCCGAACCGCACGGCCCGGCCTCGACAGCTGCTGACCGCGGTGCGCCGTCATGGCCTCGAGGACCTGCAACAGGTGCTGCGCCGCCCGCCCCTGCGCCCGCGCATACTGCGCGCGGCGCCCCGCGGCGGAGCGGTTCGGGCGGCGGCAGCCCCCGCTGCATCCTGCCACCGCAGGGGACGAGCGCGCAAGGGCTATCCTCGCGCCGGCCCGCAAGATTCTCAGAGCATCAGGAGGCCAAAAACGACGACGACGACGACGACGACGACGACGATGACGACGGCGCTGACGACGACGACGGCGACGGCGACGACGGCGACGGCGACGGCGACGGCGGCGGCGACGATGACACGAGAACAGAGGAACGAACAACGATCTGGGCGCTGCAAACGAACTGCAACGGCAAAGGCTTCGAAATTTTCGGCCTCCGGAGGCCGTTTCCCGGAACCGGGGGGCCACTCAGGACGAAAAGCCGCCCCCGGGAAAGTGGCCGAGATCCCCTATAGGAGCCGCCGCGGTGGGCCCTGAACGCGGCGCGGCGGCACGCCTTCTCGCCGAAGAGGGCCACAGAAGCGGCCGCACAGCCAGACAGCCCACCCAGGTACTGCGGGCTGGCTCCAGCAAGCCCCCTCGAGTAGCCTGGGGCGGTCTCAACACACTTGCGCCGCCTCGCTCCGCGCGCCCCAGAGGTGCGGTGTTGAGGACGCCCCGGGCTGCACGGGAGGCCTGTTGAGGCCAGCCGGACTGCGCGCAGCCCGAAGCCGCACCAGGCGGCACAAACGGAGGGCCGCGCAGGTTCAAATCACTTGGGCGCAGAGGGGGGCGGCTGCTGAGAGTCGGCGGCGAGCGAGGGGTGGAAGCGAGAATGAGAAGGCCTCCTCGGAAGGCGGCGGGACACCTCAGAAGCCGTCGCGCCCTCTGAGCAGTCTTTACTTGTGTCGTCGGGGAAGGCTTAGAAAATTTCTCAGAAGGCCGGGGGACTTCCGAGCCTTCCGAGACGGCTACCCCTTCTCACTTCCCCCCCTGGCTCGCCGCCGAGAGAGGGCCCCGCTAGGGAGAGGGCGGGTTACGTGTGTATCCCCCAGACCGGTACCCAGTGTGCTTTTCAAATGAAGTACACCCCCCCACACAGGGCTTGCACCATGTTTCTCTTTGTGTGTGGGGGGGGGAGAAGCCTTCCTGCTCAAACTTGGCGCTGTGCCCCACAACTTCTTCAGGAATCGCGCCCTCGCTCGAGCGCGGGCAAGATTTGAATTCATATCCAGTGCATCTTAGACTTTCTTGGAAGGGGCGCCACAAGGCCGAGGCGTCTAGGGGCAGATGCTCATCCATATCGGTTGTCCACATCTAGAATGGCACTCTCGGCCATTAGTGTTCCCCCTGTCATACGCTTACCTCTTTAGAGGACCTAATAGATGTAACAGCAACAACAACAACAACAACAACAACAATCATTTTACCCGAACGCTCAGTGTTCTCACCAGTGCCAGGGTTTTCATGCGACGCGAGACAATACCCCCACTTCGTGGGGGGGCAGTTCAAGCTCTACCAAATATCCAAACGACTCTTCGCGACCACCCAAACCCAGCTTCCCGCCCTATGACGTTGGGACACTTCACTTCGTGGCGTGCGGACGACCGTGGCTACTACACTGGCGTGGGGTACACACCCACAGAACTTGGTCACTTATTCGGGGCGCGCGTGTGCCCAGCATCCTGCAATTGTGACATACAATACATGACACAGACAGACAGAGAGAGAGACAGAGAGCAGACAGAGAGAGAGACAGAGAGAGCGGAGTTGGTCACATTTTTGGGGCAAGTTCCTGAGATCGTCGTGTTTTTTGTTGGTCTTGCGCGCGCGAATGTCCACTTTACTTTTTTTTGCAAGGGAGTATTGAAATTTGATTATGTTAGAACAAGAAAAAGTAGCTCGCGCGAGCTCATGTAACAGAAATGTTGAAAAACCATTGGTTTTGTGGGAGTCGGACAGCGCGCGCGGGATGAAATTTGGACATTTTTTTTTGAAAAACCATTGGGTTTTTGATGTTTTTATGTTGAAATCGTTACGAAACCTAAGGTTCTGGAAGGATTTCGTCTTGCGCGCGCGAATGTCCACTTTACCTTATTTTTTGCAAGGGATTATTGAAATTTGATTATGTTAGAACAAGAAAAAGTAGCTCGCGCGAGCTCATGTAACATAAATGTTGAAAAACCATTGGTTTTGTGGGATTCGGACAGCGCGCGCGGAAGGACATTTTGACAATTTTTTCTTAAAAAACCATTGGGTTTTTGATGTTTTTATGTTAAAATCGCTACGAAACCTAAGGTTTTGGAAGGATTTCGTCTTGCGCGCACGAATGTCCACTTTACCTTATTTTTTGCAAGGGATTCTTGCAATTTGATCAAGTAAGAACAAGAATTTTCATTTTATAGTGTTTTTTGCAAGGGAAAACGGATTACAACAAAACAACCGGATCCGGACACAATCCACTTTTCTGAAGCTTTCGCTAGAAAATGAAGGAAATGAGGCTGCGGCCTAGGTTTTGGAGGGGGGTCGCGCACCAGGGGTCTCAACAATAATATTTCTTTAGAAGTAATAATGTTCAACAACAACAACAACAACAACAACAAAAAACGCGCTCTCGCCGCTCAGGAGATCCCTCTCTCGCCCGGGAGGCCCTCGGCCACTGACCCAGGCCCCGCGCGCCCAGCCAGGGCAGATCTCTCACACGTCCGCCCGGGACCTCCTCCGATTGCAAAAAAAATGCAATTCGCACACGCTCGCCCGGGACTTCCTCACCGACTACTCTCAAGACTCGGACATGACCGTCCCGCCCGCCACTGGCCCGCCCGTCAGGGCCCGCGCGCCCGACCCGCCCTTTTTAGGGCCTGCCCGCGCCACCCGCAAGTCGTTGCCCGTCCGCCCGACCCGCTCGTCAGGTCCGCCTGCTGGTTTGCTTGGGTCAACTCGGGCGCAAGGGGGGGATAGCAAAGGGGGGGGGGGTGAGAATCAGCTCACGAAGCTGATTTTCCCAGCGCATCCCGGCGCCTGGAGGCGTCCATGTATCGAGGAAGGGGCCCGGCGGCGGGGCCGAAACCAGCTGCATGCAGCAGCGTTCGTAACCCCCACTTCCCCTATCCCCCCCTTTCGTTCGGCCCGGTTGGGAGCTCGCCCGCCCGTCTCATAATCCCGCCCGCCCGGCCCGCCCGTTCGGATCCGCCCGCCCGGGCCAGCCACGTTGATGTCACGCCCGTCCGACCCGCCCGCTCGCTTGCGTGAAGCCCGCCCGCCCGCTGTGATGTCCCCGCCGGCCGGGCTCGCTCATTCGGGCCCGCCCGCTCGTCCTGCCCGTTACCCAAAAGGCCGCCCTTTAGGGTCGGCCAGACCGACACGCTTGTCTGGGACCGCCCACCCGATCTGTCCCTCGTTGCCCTGTCTTGACTTGCACATTCGCCGTCATAACTCAGACGCCCTCCAGAGGGGCTGCGCTCGCAGACCGAGAGAGCGCGCGTCCAGGGCCTTGGGTATACACGATGAGCGGCACACGACCACTGGGGAGCCGACTGTCTCAAACTGGCGGCAGTGAACTATCCATCTTGTCCGCCTCGCCCTCCTCCTCCTCCTCCTCCCCCTCCTCCTACTCGCCCTCCCCCTCCTTCTCCTCCAACTCCTCCTACTCGCCCTCCCCCTCCTTATCCTCCAACTCCTCCTACTCGCCCTCCCCCTCCTTATCCTCCTCCTCTCTTCCTCCTCCTCCTCCTTCTGCTCCTCCCCTTTCCCTCCTCGCCGTCGCCCTCCCACCACAGCGGGCGGCTGGCACAACTCAGCGCGCCTGCTGCGCACACGTTGTCTTCGGCCCCCAAAAGGCCGGCGGCCGGCCCCCGAGGCCCTCAAGAGACCACTGGCCCCCGGGCGAGACGCCGGCCCACAAGGCAGCAGGCCGAGGCCCGGGGCCGGAGGCTCGAGAGCAGGAGCTGACCACAGCCTGGGGCCCCTTCGCACCCTTCGAAGAAGAGGAGGAGGAGGAGAAGGAGAAGGAGGGGGAGGGCGAGTAGGAGGAGGAGAAGGAGGAGGAGGAGGAGGGCGAGGCGGACAAGATGGATAGTTCACTGCCGCCAGCACCCTCGCACGCCATGTCCATCCCCGGCTCCCTCCCTGCCGTGGCCTCTCTCGGTGTCTCTCGCTCTCTCTTTTTTCTCTTTCTGCCAGCCTGCCTGCCTGCCTGCCTGCCTGCCTGCCTGTGTGTCGGTCTGTCTGCCTGTCCGTGCAACTGTCTCTCTCTCTCTCTCTCTTTCTGGCCCTCTGCCTCTCTGTGTGACTCTCTCTCGCTCTCTATGCATCTGTATACGTAGCACCCCGCAATTGCGGATAAGAGTGAGGGGGCGGGCGCGGGCGACGCGGGCGTCATCGAGCCGGCGGACCTCGTGGCCCCCACCTTCCCTGTCGATGGCGCTCTCCTCCTCCTCCTCCTCCTCGCCCTCGTCCTCATCGTCATCGTCATCCTCCTCCTCCACCTCGTCCTCCTCCTCCTCTTCTTCCTCGTCCTCCCTCTCCCCCCCTCGTCCTTTCACGATCGTCCTCCCATTGTCGTCCTCCCCCTCATCGGCCTCCATCATCGTCCTCCCATTGTCGTCCATCATCATCATCCTCCCCCTCCTCCCCCTCCTCGTCCTCCTCCTCCCCCTCCTCCCCCTCCTCCCCCTCCTCGTCCTCCTGCTCCTCCTCCTTTTCTTTCTCCACATTATCCTTACATCCTCTCTTCTTCCGCGTTCCCCTCGTCCCCTGTTTACTCCTCCTGCCTCCCCCTCCTTCCCCAAGATCATTGCAACGCAATCCTTTTTTCCACTTCATGCTCCCCGCCTTCTCTGATCAAGGCAACTCGCCAGGGCAGAGTTGCTGGACGGGCTGGTGTGGATGCGCGGGGCTTGAAGAGGTCCTTGCGGGCTCAGACGGCATGCAAAAATCCGCCGCCGCGCTTGTGCGGCATTGGTTTGTTCAGTGAACGTGGTTTAGGTCGCGGATGGGTCGCGGGCTCTCCACCTCCACTTGGAAGGAATGCAAAAGCAGCCCGCCGCAGGCGCCAAACAAATTGTTTGTACACTGAACGTGGTTTAGGTCGCGGGTGGGCCGCGGGTTTTCCACCAGGAGCGAATGCAAAAAATGCCCGCCGCAGGCGCAGAAAAATGTGGTTTGTACCCTGAACGTGGTCGCGGGTGGGCCGCGGGCTCTCCACCTGAAACAAATGCAAAAGATGCCCGCCGCAAGCGCCGAAAAATGTGGTTTGTACCCTGAACGTGGGTTGGGTCGCGGGTTGGTCGCGAGTTGGTCACGGGGTGGGTCGCGGGCTCTCCACCTGGAAGGAATGCAAAAAAGCCCGCCGCAGGCGCCGAAAATGGTGGCTTGTACCTTGAACGTGGTTTGGGTCGCGGGGTAGGTCGCGGGTGGGTCGCGGGTGGCTCGCGGGGTGGGTCGCGGGGTGGGTCGCGGGGTGGGTCGCGGGGTGGGTCGCGGGGTGGGTCGCGGGGTGGGTCGCGGGGTGGGTTGCGGGTGGTTCGCGGGTGGGTCGCGGGTGGGTCGCGGGGTGGGTCGCGGGGTGGGTCGCGGGGCGGGTCGCGGGGCGGGTTGCGGGTGGGACGACGACAACAAACAACAACAAACAACAAACAACAAACACAACAACACACAACAACAAACAACAACAAACAACAACAAACAATTACAAACAACAACAACAACAACAACAACAACAACAACAACAACAACAAGAACAACAATAACAACAACAACAACAACAATCACTTTACCCGAACGCTCAGTGTTCTCACCAGTGCCAGGGTTTTCATGCGACGCCAGCCAATACCCCCACTTTGTGGGGGGGCAGTGCAAGCTCTACCAAATATCCACACGACTCTTCGCCACCACCCACACCCAGCTTCCCGCCCTATGACGTTCGGACACTTCACTTCGTGGCCTGCGGACGACCGTGGCTACTACACTGGCGTGGAGTACACACCCACAGAAGTTGTTAAGCCTACGTTCGTACACCCACAGAAGTTGTTAAGCCTTGTTAACCCACAGAAGTTGTTAAGCGGTGCTAAAATTCTTAAAAACCCAATGGTTTTTGGAGATTTCGGCGTGCGCGCGCGAAGAAAAAACGAATGTGTCCCGCATGGTATTATTTGACAGGGATGATGGCCCTGGCAGGTGCGCAACCGTTGTCGCAGAAGTTCGAAAAAGTTGCTCGCAAAAGCCCGTTTGACAGAAATGTTTAAAAAGTGTTGGTTTTCCTACGAATCCGCAAGAGCGCGCGGGATGAGATTTTGACATTTTTTTGTTGAAAAACCATTGGTTTTTTGATGTTTTTATGTTAAAATCGCTCCGAACACTAAGCTTTTGGAAGGATTTCGTCTTGCGCGCGCGAATGTCCACTTTACCTTATTTTTTGCAAGGGATTCTTGAAATTTGATTATATTAGAACAAGAAATGTCATTTTATAGTGTTTTTTGCAAGGGAAAGCGGGGGGGAACAAAACAACCGGATCTTGATCACATCGAATTACCTGAGGCTTCCTCACGAAAATGATGAAAATGTAGCTGCGGCCTAGGCGGCGCAGGGGGGCCGTGCACCAGGGGTCCCAACAGTAATTATTCTTTAGAATTAATAATGTTCAACAACAACAACAACAACAACGATAATCCGCACCGCGGAATTCCACTTCAGCCACGCACCCAGGGACAGTGAATGACCGTTCGGCCCCCTCACTCTGATGATGTTTAGATCGACGCACCCCCCCATCCTCTCTGCGCCCTTCCCCGTCCCCATCCTCTTCCGTCTCTCTGTATTCCGTCGCCCTTCTCCCCCCCCCTGATCCTAGCAAGGAGGCGGGGGGCAACCTCGGGAGCGGATGGTTCCGGACGGCCACTCGAAAGGCCGATGCCCCGGCACCCACATCCTCGCCCATGCGCGCAGCCTCTGCGAGCAGCCAGCCTTATCCAATCGGGGCTGAAACTGGTGTGGCCAGCCGCCGACGCGCAGGCGGTCGCCACGGAAGCGAACGCGAGGCCCGACCAGCCTCCAACCGCTCCTCCTGTCCTCACCTGCGTCTCTCCTGCTTCTCGCTCCTCCTTCCGTCCCGCCATCCCGGACCCCCGACGTCAGTTGTTGTTCACGACGTGGGCCCCCAGGGGTCTGGACCCCTCCCCCGGGACAGTGCTCCATCCCGGGGCGCCTTGTTGACGGCCCCGCGGCCCGAAAAGGGCCCCCGAGGCCGAAAACTGCCAAACATCCTCCCGCCGAGATGTCTTCAAGACCCGATGGGGTTCTGCCTCTCGCCCTGCGCGCTCGCTCAGGCGCTGGACGCGCCAGCCCATAGAGGGACATTAGAGGCCTCCTGGATGGGGTCCGAGCAGATGGGGTCGGAGGATCTCGCCGCATCGCCGATACATCGGCGATACGTCGCCGACGCGTCGGCCATGCACTTGCGACGTCGGCGATGCATGGGCGACGTCGGTGTGGAGAATAAGTGGACCCCACATAGAGCCGCATCGCTGATGCATCGCCGATGCATCGGCGATGCGGCGCGATCCTCCGACCCCATCTGCGCCGACCCCATCCAGGAGGGATAGAGAGACATGCCCCACGTCAGGCTGGCGGCCACGGTCGCCCGCCTCCAGGCGAAGCGGGCAGGCGAGGCTCGCCCCACTCCCCTTGCCCGCCTGCCCAGACACCCGACGCCTTGGCCTTTGCCACACCGTCTATCCCCGAGGTCTCGACCCCTTCCCCCCTCCCTCCCTCCCTCCCTCCTGCTCCTCCTCCGCCTCCTCCTCCTCCTCGTTTGCCTGCACTTCCTCCTCCTCCTCCTCTTCTTCCTCCTCTTCCTCCTCTTCCTCCCGCTCCTCTTCCTCCTCCTCCTCCTCGTCCTCCTCCTCCTTCTCCTCCTCCTCCCCCTCCTCCTCCTCCTCCTTCGCCTTCCCCGGAACCGGTTCTTCATCCTGAGTCGTTCATCGACGGCCCCGGGACCCAGTGCGGGCCCCCAGAGGACGGAAACAGAGAAACAGCTGCCGTCATGTTGTTGTTCATGGCCCGAAGAGGTCTGCGTCGAGGAGGGAGCGGGTGAGGGGGAGGGCACGCAGGAGGAGGAGGAGGAGGCAGAGAAGGAGGAGGAGGAGGCACACAGATCGTTCAACATCGACCGATTCCAGGTCGCCGGCGGAGTTCCACGTTGGACGCCGTGCATTGTTCGACTTCGAGCGTTTAGTTGTTCGTAAAATGATCCAAGATGCTCCTCGATACACCTCGCCGAGGAGAACACGCACACGTCCCAGCAATGCCCAGATAGGTAAAACTCTTGACTTTGCGAGGCGCCGTGCGTCGATCTCGTTGCCTGCTCCACCTGGTCCTCCTCCGCAGAGGCCTCCCTTATGGTGGGGTCCGAAGAGATTGGGTCGGAGGACCGCGTCGCATCAGCGACGCATCGGCGTGGGGAGACTCTGGCTCCACATCGAGCCGCATGTTTGTCATGACGTGGGCCCCGACAGAAGCTGCACCCCTTTCCCCGGGACCCGTCTTTCGTTCTGCGTCGTTGTTGGAAGGTCCCGAGGCCAGGCCAGGGCCCCCAGAGGGAGAACAGCAGGAGGGGGACTCGGAGGCGCGGAAGCAGGAGGAGGAGGACGTGGAGGCGGGGAAGCAGGAGGAGGGAGGGGGGGACCATGGAGGGATGAATGATGGAGGAGGGCGGATGGGGAGGTGAGGAAGGGTGAGGGGAGGGGACACGAGGAGCGCGAGAGCCTGACCAGAGCGCGCGGCACCCGCCGGATGGCCGCTGAGCCACGATCGCTGCTGCTGCTCTTCCTCCTTGCACCATCCTCTAAGCATGCCTCCACCTCATCCTCCTTTTCCTCCTCCGCCTCCTCCTCCTCCTGCTCCTCTTCCTCCTCCTCCTCCTCTGCCTCCTGCTCCTGTGGGGCAACGATCGTTGGGTGACTGGCTCAAGGCCTCTCAGGCATGGTATGCTGGCACGGTTTAGGATTGTCAGGTCGCGACAGTCACGTTGGTCCGCGACGCTGAACGCCAAGAAACGCTGCGCTGGCACGAATGCAGATTTTCAGACGATTGCCTTCTAATTGGCCACTTCTCCAAATGCAAATAATTTGCTCAGAGACTTGTGGAGAGGGAGCTTGGAGGGATGGTGGGTTGCAACATCAATGATGCGTCTTGGGGTTGAACTGGTCGTCATCATCCTAATACTACTCCGTGAGGGAAAACGATATGTGGGTGAGTGGCCCAGGGGGGGGAACCATCCACAGGGCGTCGGCAATGCATCACCGATAGATCGGCGCTGGGCCCCCGATGAGCGAAACTGGTCGTTCCTGGGCGGGGTGGGCTATCGGGCCCTATCGGCGATGACTGGACCCTTGGGGGGCGATGCATCCCCAAAAACCTATCCCCCCGAACGTTGCCCCTGGCACGTCTCCTCCTTCTCCTCCTCCTCCTCCTCCTCCTCCTTCTCCTCCTCCTCCTGCTCTTGCCGTGATCGCTACTGCTGCTCCTCTTCACCTTCGTGCCCAACTCGCCCGCGGCCTCCAGGTGTCTGTCAGCAGGTTGCGCGCCGGCCTCGGGAACATCCCCCCCCAATGGGCGAGATCGACCTGGAATCGACGGTACATCACCGTTCGGCGAGAGGCCTCCGACAGCGAATCCGCATGCTACTGAGCGGGGTGGGGCTGTCGGGATCATATCGGCGATCCATGGGCGACTCGAGGCTGATGCATCCCCCCCACGTTGCCCTTCGACTTCGGGCCATAGCCCAGTTCTGTGGCGGCCGTTCGGGACGATCACCACCCCTGGAAAGCTCCACTCCAGGCGCAGATGCTGGAGAGCATCCCGAGGCTGGACAATCGAACCGAAGAAAAAGCTCGAGAACCTCGACCCTAAAGGTTTTTCTTCAGACTCGAGCAATTATACGTGCACAGAGGGGCAGAGGCATAGCGAGGACCAACCAAAACTACATCTGGTTGCCACGCAAGCCCGAAGTCGCTTGCACGCCTTTTCGGCCAGGCGCTCTTTGACAAAGCGGCGGAGGGGGGCAGGGGGAATAGATGGCATGCAAGTGAAATCACCTGTGTCTGAAGACTACAAGTCCATCGCCAGCACGCTGCTTGACTTCTCGCGGCCAGCAAATAAATATATATATATATGTTAAACAAACTACATCGTATCCCCCATTTGAGCCTACCCCCCACCTGAGCCGACCCTCCCCGATCGTTGCCTCTGAGCCCGACCCCCTCCTGAGACAATCCTCTACGCTAAGGCTGCCCTCCACCCTGGGCCTAATCTCCTCTCAGCCGTTGCTCCCCTCAGACTATCCTCAAGCCGATCCCCCCACCCCGACCCCACCCTCCCTGACGTTGTCCCGGACAGGGGAGCCTCGAAGATGCTGGCAAAGACCCCATGCACTGCATACGGTAACTACCGCGTTTGGCGCGTTGAGTAGCTAGGAAGCGAGGAGGCACAGACCTTTCGCACAATCCAAGAAATTACCCAATCTGGGCCCCCACCGGGAAGGAGCAGGTGGAGCATGCGAAAGCCACACAAGACATACACCAAATCAAGCAAACTGGTCCAGGAACAGTGCGGTGACCTCGTCGCCGATGGCTCGCTGCCCAAACGATACGGCGTGGTGCGTAGGGTGCTGGGCCCCGATCCACGGCCAATCCAGACAAAACGATTAGCATGGGCATATGGGTTTGCTCCCCAGGGTGAGTGGAAACAAGACCCGCACGTTGTAACACAGTGGAACATCACAAGGAATTTCGACAGGAGCCCCGGACCCCATCTTTCTGCTCCATGTTTCGAGATGGATCGATGTGCGGGGCCCTGGGGCACGAAACGGAGCGGAAAGGCCCCTTGTTAAAGAATTGCATCGCCTGGGCCCCAGGGGCCCAGTTGGGGCGCTTTAGGACCGACTTGGGGCCCTCTTGGGCAGTCTTGGAATCCTTCTGGGCCGTCGGGGGGCGCCGTGAAGGCTTCGAGCCGTCTAAGGGCCCTCTTGGGGCCCTCCTTGGGAGCCTCTCTCGCACAACCCCGGAAGACCCCCATCCGGACCCCCGCCGGGCAGGAGCGCAGGGCGCGGGTGGGGGACGGGCGGCCCCGGGGGCCCTCGAGCGCGAGGGACGGCCGACGCCGCGCGCAACCGCAGGGGCGGGCCGGCGGCGGGGCACCGAGGGCCCCTCGAGCGCGAGTCCGAACGTCGTATGCCGCAGCGCGGCAGGGGCAAGCCGCACGCGCGCTCGGGCGGGGGACAGGACAGGCGGAAGGGGCCGCGGGGCGGGAGGGGGGGAGGGGAAGGCGCTCGCACGGCGGGCGTCGCCACGGAGCGGCCGGGACGGCCAGCCAGCGCTGCACCCCTGGCAGCGGGCGCGGGGCGGCGAGCGCGGATAAACGAGCACGCTCCACGGCTCGCAAAGTAACTGGATCCGCCGCGGGGGGTCCGCCGCCGCGGGCGGGCGGCATCGCAGAGACATGCGCTAAGAACTCCTTGGGCACCATCGTAGGGCGACGAGCTGTATGTCCACGACCTGCTGACACACAACTCGACCTGGGACCTATAAAAGATCCACGGAGGCTGTGCCCCACGAGTTGGGGCGACGAGATCCTCGTGCAAGCGCTAACCAGGCCAAGCGGTATATGCGGGCGGGCGGCGGCTGCCACTCCTCTTCGTGGAACGTCTGCCCACGACGCGGGTGGTCTCCTAGCAGCAGGCACTGCCGTGGTGCACGAGGGGGCTGCCCCTGCGACCTCCCTCGGCGCACCTGTCGCAACGGCGGTCGGCGGCAACAGGAGAGGAGGAGGAGGAGGAGGAGGAGGAGGAGGAGGAGGAGGAGGAGGAGGAGAAGGAGGAGGAGGAGAGGACAGACAAACGGAGTTTGGCCCACGGGGGAGATAATGCGTATCCACCGCCACCGGCCAGGCCCCTCCTGGGGCCCGGAGCGGTGCCACACCCGGGCCCAGGAGGTGCCAAGCCAGCGGCGGTGGATACGCTCGTATGCATCCCGTCGCCCGAACTCTTGGGGCATACTCGCCGTCAATCTCTTGAGGGACCTGAGTCAAAAGAGCCAAAGGATACGCAGTTGCATACGTTCACCCACATGTTTTGGACTCTCGTCTTCACCTCACTTCCCATGTGTTCCCATATTTCCTGGGGGCCGAAGATGAATTGTGTCAGTGTGTTGTTTCTCCCCCTGATAAGTCAGCCGAAGAAGTAGCACACACAATGCACATAAACTTTCGGAGCTCGGCAGCGGAATTCTTGTATCGGCGCTGGGCCCCCTCGCGGCGTTTCAGGTGCAGTCCCTGGAGTGCTCCACGCGCCAGGGATGGGGGTCCAGCGACACCCCACAGATCCCCGCGGGGCTCCAACAGCGTACTTGTACGCCGGCTTTCTGTCTCTAGCACGGTGCCACACAATCTCTGCGGTTCCCTGCGGCAGTCGGGGATCGGAACTTTCCGAGGGCCACCTGCTGGCAAGCGGATGTCCTGTTTGATGCGCCTTCTGCGCTGCAGAGCCTCTGTGATGAGGAGCGCTAAATAGGGAACACGGCCCCGCTTTGGAACCCAAAGGGCCTCGGTGCACGCGGAAGCTCTAGAGGAACAGTGCTATGGAAGGGCCCGACGAAACGCGAGACCCTTCCGAACCGAGGTGCTCCCTTTTTCGGCGTCTCGGCCGCGGTGAGGAAGGGCAAGGGTCGGCCGGGGGGGGGGGGGCACAGGGAAGCGGAGGAAATAGACCGTAGCACCCCGCAGATGCGGACAAGAGTGAGGGGGCGGTGGGGACGTCGGCAGTTTGCGAGACTCTAGAAAACCGCCGCAGGCGCCAAAGTTGTACAAATTATGCAACGAGCCCGCCGCAGGCGCCGATACATTCCTTTAAGCCAACGTGGGTAAATCGCGAGCGGTCACGGGTGGGTCGCGGGTGGGTCGTAAATGGGTCGCGGGTGGGTCGCTGTTGGGTAGCGGGTGGGTCGAGGGTACAGAGGGCAGAAGATCCACCCCACAATGATCACCCCGGCAAGCAAAGCCGTTTAGTAAACGCACATGGAAATAAATAGGACAGGGCAGGGCTGCTTAGTAAACGCCCAGGGCCGTTTAGGAAATGTCAATTGTCGGGTGGGAGATGGTTTTTCCTTTCTTGAAGGTTGGTGGCGGGGTGGGTCGCGGGTGAATCCCAGGGTGGGTCGCGGGTGGGTCGCGGGTGGGACGCGGATGGGTCGCGGGCTGGGTCGCGGGTGGGTCGCGGGGTGGGTCGCGGGTGTGTCGCGGGTGGGTCGCGGGTGGGACGCGGATGGGTCGCGGGAAGGTCGCGGGTGGGTCGCTGTTGGGTAGAGGGTGGGTCGCGGCTGTGGAGGGCAGTGGATCCACCCCATAATAACCACCCCGGCAAGCAAAGCCGTGTAGCAAAAGCACATAAAAAAGAATCGAACAGGGCAGGGCTGCTTAGTAAACGCCCAGGGCCGTTAGGAAATGTCAATTGTCGGGTGGGGGTTGGTTTTTCCTTCCTTGAGGGTTGGTCGCGGGGTGGGTCGCGGGTGAATCCCAGGGTGGGTCGCGGGTGGGTCGCGGGTGGGACGCGGATGGGTCGTGGGCTGGGTCGCGGGTGGGTCGCGGGGTGGGTCGCGGGGTGGGTCGCGGGTGGGTCGCGGGTGGGTCGCGGGTGGGTCGCGGGTGGGTCGCGGGGTGGGTCGCGGGTGGGTCGCGGGGTGGGTCGCGGGGTGGATCATGGGGTGGGTCGCGGGTGAGTCGCGGGTGGGACGACGACAACAACAAACAAACAATAAACAACGAACAACAAAGAACAAACGCCACCAACAACAAACAACAAAGAACAAACAATACCAACAACAACAACACCAACACCAACAACAACAACAACAACAACACGACAACCAGAACTCTCACCACGAAGTCCCTATTCAGCCACGCACCCAGGGACAATGAATGACCGATCGGCCCCCTCACTCTGATCCTCGCCCTTGCCTGCCAGCAAGGCTTCACCGACCGTAAGTATGCTCGGCTGTGCTGAGGCCTTTGCTGGGACAGCGCCCCCTGAGTGCTGGGGCGCCACGCTGTTTGCCAGAGGGCCGCGCGCAGCAGGCCGAAGTCAAGGCACTCATAGGGGAACTCGCTGGCACAGCGTCGGGGGTCGCACCCAGTGGCGACGCGGTTTCGTGGGGCGTGCCGCTGGGATGTTGGCATCGATGGTTGGCCGCTCGGAACCGCTCTGCCAGGTCGTCGGTCGGGGCCTCCCAGGGGCGGGACGGATCGGTGCCTGCTGGACGGGGTCACTTGTGGAGTGATGACCCCGATGCACGTCGAGGGGCGCATGTGAGTTCGAGGTCCGCTCGTGCATCTGCGTGTCAGCGGCGGGCCCGTGGAGGAAGTCAGAAGGGACGGACCTTCCCAGAAGACTCGAACATCCCCCGACCCTCTGAGAAGTCTCCGACAACAAAACGCCCCCTGGAGGAGGAGGAGGAGGAGGAGGAGGAGGAGGAGGAGGAGGAGGGCCAGGTCGTCCGAGAAAAGCCCCGCGCGCCCTCCGAGAAGGCCTTCTCCTCCTTCTCGCTTCTCCCCCCCCTCCGAGAACGCCGCCGAGCGTGGTCCGACTCTCCGCCGAGCGTGGCCTCGCCGGCCTCCCTCCCTCCCTCCTCCCTCTCCTCCTCCTCCTCCTCCTCCTCCTCCCTCCTCCTCCTCCTCCTCCTCCTCCTCCTCCTCCCTCCTCCTCCTCCCTCCTCCTCCTCTCCTCCTCCTCCTCCTCCCTCCCTCCCTCCCTCCCTCCTCCCTCCTCCCTCCCTCCTCCCTCCCGCCCTCCCGCCCTCCCTCTCCCCCGTGCGGGGCTGCGCGGGGCCGCGGCGGGGGGTGCCAGCGCTTTGCCTGGCGCGCGCTGCCAGCTGCGCGCGAAGATGCCTGCGGCTTCTCGTGCCGGCGGGCCCTCAGAGGGAAGAGCTCAGGCCCCAGGGGCCCTAGGGCAAGGGGCGCCCGACGTCGCGCGCTCGCGCCGCCCCCCCCAGGGGAGGAGAGAGAAGAAGGAGGAGTCGGAGCCGGACCTTCGAAGCGCAAGGCGCGAACAACTCTAGGTCGGGCCCGTCCCCCTTACAAGGAGATGTTGGACGAACTATGAGAAAAAATCCCGAACAAATGCACACATGATGTTCAAACATGCTCAAGAAATCGTCTCCTGAACATTCTTTGACTATGTTTGAATACTCCTCCTGTAGAGGGGCAGACCCGACTTAAGGATAACTTCGCGCCCCCGAGGGCGCCTTCGCCCACAGGCTGCCCACAGCCGACGGCTCAGAGTCCAGGAGCCCTCCCTGCCCTCCCCTCGCGCCATCGCTCGGACGTCCATTCCCCGTGCACTGTTCCATTTCGTGCGCTCACTGTTTCGAACGATGTTTTAAGGTGCTCATCAATAGCCCTCGCCGAGAACATGTTGTATTACCGCGCAAAACAAAAACAACTAAAACATAGAAGGGTCCTCGCCGAGAACACAGATAATCAGACAACACGGCCTACACACAAACTTCTGGCGCTCGGCGCGGATGTCTTGGATTCGCGCTGACCCCCCCTTCCTGGCGCGCGGAGCGCGCGAGGGGCGGCGCCGGAGGCGCCAGCCCTTGTTTATTGCCAAAAGTATATATGTATGGCTTTTTGGTCTAAAGAACATATGCACAAGCCCCAGCGATGCCAAAGCCCTCCCTGAGCCGCTGACTCCTCAGACCTCTCCCGGGGTGCGTTCTGACAAGAATTTCGAGGCGAATCCAGCGGTGACGACGAGGGCCTCCGAGGAGGCCCAAAAGAAGGGGAACCCGAGAAAAAAGGCAGAGGCATGGGTACCTCTTCCTCCTTTGATCGCTGGTCCTCGCCGAGAATAATCAGAGGCCTCCTGGATGGGGCCAGAACAGGTGGGGTCGGAGGATCTCGCCGCATCGCTGATACATCGGCGATGCATCCCCGATGCATCGGCGATGCACTGGCGACGTCGGCGATGCACCGGCGACGTCGGCGTGGATAAAAGTGGGCCCCGCATCGAGCTGCATGGGCGATGCGTCGAGATGGATCTGCGATGCTTCACGATCCTCCGACCCCATCTGCTCCGACCCCATCTGGGAGGCCGAGAACAAATGCACAGGTCCGAGCGATGCCGAGGCCCTCCTTGGATCGCTGGTCCTCGCCGAGAACAAAGGCACACGCCCGAGCGGTGCCAAGGCCCTCCCCGAGCCGGCGACTGAGGCGAGCGCACTGGCAGCAGCAGGCGCGGCCGCTGCGCGGGGGACACAGTCTCCGCCGCCTGCGGCGGCCGGGGCGCGGCCGCGGCCGCGCTCGGGAAGGACAGCCCGCGTCCTCGTCCTCGTCCTCGTCCTCGTCCTTGTCCTCCTCCTCCGCCTCCTCCTTCTCCTCCTCGTCCTCCTCCTCCTCGTCCTCCTCCTCCTCCTCCTCCTCCTCCTCCTCCTCCGTCTCTCCTCCTCCTCCTCTCCTCCTCCTCCTCCTCCTCCTCCTCCTCCTAGGAGCACGGCCAAGAGGGAGGGACAAGGACAGATCTGGGGCGGCCAAGAGTGGGGCGTCCAAGAGGGAGGGTCGCAACTCGAGGCTGGCGGCACGTGCGCGGCCCAGGGGGGGGCGGGGCCGGGGACGCAATGGGGAAAGATAGCATGGCCCACGCCATGAAATCCTCCCCCCCCTAGTCATCACCCCCCTCGCGGCCGCCCCTAGTAATCACCCACCTAGTCATTACCCCCTAGTCATATATCCCCACTCCTGGTCATCACCCCCCTCGCGGCCGCCCCCAGACAGGAGAGGGCCCGAGTTCCTCAAGGAAGAACACAAGCATGGCACAAACCTCAACGTCTCGCGCTCCGCGCGGATTTCTCTTGGGCTTCGCTCTGGGCCCCCCCGGCGGCGCCTCTGGCGCTTCCTGTCCAGAGCAGATCCAAGAAATCCGCGCGGAGCGCCAAAAATTCTTCCCGCTTCGCGTATCCCTACCAGTACTTGCGCCTGGTAGAAGATTGGGACAGTTGTACCTTCCGCATAGCGTCACATCATGTTACCTGATGGCTCGCTTGCGAACGCATCTCTATTCGAGGTTGTCTTCCCGGGCCTCACGTGCCTTGTTCGGTTACAGACACCACGAATTTCGCGCCTTTTGGCTGCGTTGGTGCGTACTCTGAAGCTGCGACGGTTCGCTGGCGCTGTCAGAGTCCAACCTCTCCCTACGGTATGCAGTCTGGCGACAGCTTGCGTGTCTCTCGGACGTTTCTGCTTGAGCATGGTTCAGACACCCTGGGACCCTTTGGTACGCCATTCCCGCGCCGAGGTTGGCAGACTCCCTACTGTTTAGATAGTGTCTCAAGCGGCGTACTGCTTGGCCATGGCCTCAGACACTTTGGGGGTATTTGCATCGCGCCACTTTGGCAGCGTAGTTACTGGCTCCCCGGGTGCTGGTCCCTGGGCGTCAGACCCCCTGGGTTGCAGCACCCTTGCACCCGCCGCCCCGGCGCCGGCCGCGGCCCGCGCGCGCGTCCGGCTAATTAGTTTCGGCCGCAGCCCGACCGTTACTCGCCGCCGCTGGCGCTTCCGCCCGCGGCTGTAAAAAAAAAAGAAAAAGCATCCCTACCAGTCCCTGTTTCTTCTCACCACCTGTGTGGCCTTCTGTTCCTGCGCGTCGCCGGCGGCAATTGCGCTGTGCCCGACTTTCGCTTTACGACCTGTTTAGACGGCGCGCAGCTGCCTGCATCGCTCGCGAGCAAAAAAAACTATCCCCACCAGCCCATCCCAAAACAGTATCTTTTGCGAAGCATACGAACTGTTGTTGTGATGTTGTGTTCGGGTGTACCTTCTCCTGCCCTCGCATATAACCTCCCGTTCCTCCTGCATCCCACCTGCTCCCGTTTAGCTCTTCCTTGTAGGAGGGGTGGGTGAGGGACGAGGCGAAGGAGGAAGAAGAAGAGAAGGCGGTGGGAGACGAGAGGGATACAGCGGCGAAGAAGACGACGACGGCGATGACCACAACAACAACGACGACGACGACAACGACGACAACGACGACCGCGACGACGACGACGACGACGACGACGACGACGACGACGGCGACGACGACCGCGACGACGCCGACGACGAAGACGACGATGAGTACGACGACGACGACGAGTCAACCATCAATAATTACCTTTTCTGGGTCTTTCTCTCTGAGAGCCGCTTGGAGGCCTCTTGGGGCTATCCAAGGGCCTTCGTGGGAATATGTTGGAGGTCTCTGGTCCCTTTGAAGGTCCCGTGGTGCCTCTTGGGGCACCCTTGGAGCTGTTTTGGAGGGTCTTGGGGCCATCCTGGGGCTCTGAGAGGTCTTTTGGGGCCACATTGGAGGGCACGACTCCACAAGGAGCGCGGCGTCACTTACGGTCTCCCCTTCGGAACCCGAGAAGCGGCCTCTTGGGCCCCCCCTGGGCCACTCTTGGGACGCTCTTGGGCGCTCTTGGGCCCGCCTTGGGCCTGCCTTGGGGCTCTCTTGGGCCACCTTGAAGCCTCAAGAGCCCACTGATAGCGAAAAAGCCAGAAGAGAGAAACACTTGGTCTCCCCAAGGTGTTTGAAGGAGTTGGGCCTCTCGGGGGCGCCCTTGGGGGGCTTTGTGGCCACTTGGGGCCGTCTTGGGGCGTTCTTGGAGCCTCTTCTAGGCATGTTAGGAGCTATCTTGAGCCATCGAGAGCTATCTTGAGCGATCTTGGGGGTCATCTTGAGCTCTCTTGGACTGTCTTGGCGCCATCTTAAGCCAATACGCACGCCCTCAAACCCGCGCCTCCCGCCCCCCTCCAAGCCCAGGAATAGGGGGTAGGGCGAGGGGTCAAGACACCCACCCGCCCGCAAGCCGTCTAGCTCACTCCCACCCGCCCTCCCTACACATAAGTAACACCCGAACGTGAGCATGATCAGCGGTCGTCTTTGGATGGACAGCTACTGGGAACCAAAGCTGACCCCAGATGCGCGAAGATTGGGCGAGGTGCGCCACGCGTGCCAGGGGCGCCACCGCCACGCGCGTCAGGTACCCCTGGGGCCCGAGCGTGCCAGGCACGCCTGGTGCGCTAGATGCACCACGTGCTCCGAGTGCGCCAGGTGTGCCGCACACTCCAGCCTTGCCAGGAGCGCCGCGTTCGGGGCAAGTGCAAAGTGCGTCAGGTGCGCCTGCGCACGTGACGCACTTTGCACTTGCCCCGACATCCTTGTCGAAACCCGATGCCCATCATTTTCTGCTGGGCCTGCGCACAGCAGGCCACGCGCCACCACCCCCGCCGTCCCTGTCAAAAACCACTTGACAGTGATCGCGGGATGGCCGCGCACGATCCAGATTTAGCCGCGAGGTGCATGGTGTATTGTTTTTGTTGTCAGGGATAGTAGCCTTGCGCACAGCTGGGAATATGTTGTGCTCGCGGGCCACACGAACATGACTCAAGACTGTGCCCCAAAGTGCACTATGGTTTTTTTTGTCAGGGATGGTGTGGAGGGGTCGCATCGGGTTGGCCGCGCATGCTCCAAATGTGGAGGATCAGTGCGGTTTGTACTGTTTGTTGACAGGGATGGTGGGGAGGGCGGGTGGTCATGGTGTCGGCATGGTGCCTAGTTGGCCCCCGGTCGCCTGGGGGGGGGTATACCAATAAAGAACAATGAGAAACCCCTCCCCGAAGGGGAAATCGGGGGTTGGACAGAGGGGGCTCTCTAAACCACTCACGTCCAGAAGGCTGGTGGGATTTATGTTTACGGCGTGCGCTCTTCTACTATTCCGGAAACCCTGAACCCAAAAACGCTGTCATCACTAAGTACCGCATCTTTTACTTCCGCCGGCTTCCGGCGGCGGAGGCGGCCTCGTTTTACTTCCGCCGACCGTCTGCCGCCCTTCCGCCACACTCCGCCGAGGAAGGGATGACAACGCCTTCGGGCCTTGGGTTTGGTGGGATTTTCGACTGAAGCAGCAATCCCACCAGCCTTCTGGGCGTGAATGGTTTAGAGAGCCCATCTGTCCAACCCGCCTTTTCCTTTTCGGGGAAGGATTTATCACTGTTCCTATTAATATACACCCCCTCCCCCAGGCGACTGGGAGCCAACCCGAGACAATGAGGGCCCCCCACAATCCCTTGTAAAACTCAACAAAACATTCTCTGCCTCCAAATTTGGAGCATGCGCAGCGAACCCGATGCGGCCTCCCCCCACCATCCCCATCAACAAAAACGATACATGTTACACTTGGCGGCGGCGGCGGCTGCGGCGGCTGCGGCGGGGGCAGCGGCTGCGGCGGCTGCGGCGGTGGCGGCGGCGGTGGCGGCGGCGGCGGGGGCGGCGGCGGCGATGGTGGCAGCGGCGGCTGTGGCGGCGGCGGCGGCGACGGCGGTGGCGGCAGCGGCTGCGGCGGCAGCGCCTGCAGCGGCATCGATTCGGCAGCGGCGGCGGCGGCGGCGGCGGATTCACCCCCAGTAGCTGCCCATCCAAAGACGACTGCTGAATATGCTGCGGCTCGGGCCAGGCTGGGGTGCCACGTATGTGTTGGGATTGGGGGTGGGAGTGAGCGAAGCGGTTTGCGGGCAAGGAGGGTGTCTTGACCTCTCCCCCATACCCCCTGCCCCTGGGCCTGGAAGGGGGGGGGCGCGGGTTCTTGGAGCGTCTGCATTGGCCGAAGATGGCGCAAAGACAGCCCAAGAAAGCTCAAGATGACCTCCAAGATCGCTCAAGATGGCCCTCGATGACTCGAGATAGCTCCTTACAAGCCTACACGAGGCTCCAAGACCGCCCCAAGACGGCCCCAAGTGGCCACGGAGTCTACCAAGGACGCCCCCGAAGGGGCCAACACATCTCAAAAACCTACGGTGAAAAAATGCTGCCGGGCGTAGCCCGAAATTGTTTCTCGCTAAGTAACCTGGACTGCACTGAACTGAACTGAGCCGGCTGGTCGCGCCCGTTACGCGACGGTTTCACTCTCGAACGCCAAGGGCGCACCCATGGCGCAACCGATGGGGGACGGTTTTGATCTCGGCCGCCGAGGGCGCAACCTATGGCGCAACCGATAGGAAATGGTTTTGATCTCGGCCGCCGAGGGCTCAACCTATGGCGCAACCGATAGGAGACGGTTTTACTCTCGGCCGCCGAGGGCAAAATCGATGTCGCAACCTACGGCGCAACCTAGGTCCTAGACGAGGACGACGAGGAGGAGTTAAATCAGGAGGAAGACGAGGAACACGAGGAAGACGAGGAGGAGGACGAGGAGAACGACGACGACGAAGTTCAGGATGGGGAGGAGGACGGGGAGGAATACGAGTAGCACGAAGAACACGTGT